CACTGCCTTCAACTTCGAGAACCCACTGAAATAACGCAATTCTGCACTGGTTTGGTGCTTCGGCCGCTTCAACACCCTCGCGCCAATTTGACCCAACGTACGAGATGTTGGGGTTGATTGGGCTCTGACCAGTTAGCTGTTGCTATTCCAACCCAGTGCTGCTGCCTTTTAATGTTCGCGGGTTTTTTTTCGGGCGCCTCAGATTTTCAGACCCAATTTTTCCAGTCCGGTCTAGTTTTTGGGATCGCATTATTTGCGTTATTAGCGTAAAGTATGTCTCCATGGCAGAGATCGAATATTGATAAAACTGGTTACAAGAATTTCATTCTTTACGGGTATTTCGGTCGAATGCATAACATAAGACCCCAGACCTAAGCAACTTTAAAGGAATCTTCCACGGACCATGGACCAGTGGGCGGGACCGGAAGTGGTTTTGCGACGAAAATGGTAGGTACGGATCCACGTTCATGGGAAGGTTTGAAGTGAATCCTGTTCACGTTCGTGCGTTCGACACGTGGATCCGTACCTACCATGCATTTCGTCACAAAAACTTCCGGTCCCGCCCACTGGTCCATGGTCCGTGGAAGATTCCTTTAAGCTTATTCGATATCCTCACCTGATTATCAAGTAGCTGGCGCAGCAGGTTGGAGGTCCTCCCAACAGCATCCTGTCGTCTCTCCAACATTCGTGACTACTTGACGCACACGACAGGAATAGCTAATTTTCTACTGCAGCGAGATTTCTTTACCCTTTTGGAATGTTCTAGGAAATTCGAATATTTCAACCACATTGTGCCAACCGTCTTGGCAGCGTTGAATCTGCTTTGTTTTCGTTTTTTGATTGTAGCTAGGATGTATTATATTTTCTCTCTATCTTTTCATAGGCTCACTGTAAGATATAAACAGGCAACTCTATGTATAGTCGTGGACGTGCTTAATGGGTTCTTGATTATACCGTATCAGTCAGATCAGGGTCAACCGTGCACCTCCCCAAGTCGGATGGGGAAAAGTTGTATCTGTGATTTCATTCGATTGCCAATGATACCTGTTTCCTCAGATGAGCTCGAACGTGCTAATACCGGTCGACGGACTACTTGAACTCAGCCCTTTAAACCGCCTCTGCGCTCTCTCGCGGGTCCCTCTCCTCTCCAAGGCTTAGTCCTAGGGCATTCACCCGTTCTCTAATCGTCTGTGCTCTAGCCATCGCGGCAGGACCATTGAGGAAATCAAGTAGTCCGTAAACCTCTTGAGGAGGGGCTCTCACTTAATTACTAAGAGCGCTTGCGGCAGCGGCAGTTCTTGTTCGTGGTTTCACGAAGCTGGCATTGGGCGCTGTCAAAAGCTTTGGCGAATTACATCCGAAATCGCTAGGCGAGATTCGCGAGTCTGAAGGATGACACTAGTGGCTTCCAACTGTTTACGGCAGCGACTTTGGGAGTGATTGGAGGTGGCGGGAGCACCGCTCGTTCGCAGCTTAACTCTCGCCACCTTTTCAGCCTCGCGAGGGCATAGAAGAGCAGGAGGGTACGAGAGCCCGGGAAAACGGCGAGAGTGTAGATGAGAAGGGCTTTTACGGAAACCTTTAAGCTCTGCCGAGTCGCTGGTACATCCTTTAAATCGCTGGTATATCGCTCGGGTCGCTAGTGCCTAGTTCGGTCGCTGTTGCATCGCCACCCGCGATTCGCTGGCCATTTCTTGGTTTCACTGAGTCTGCCACTGACCTTACATCTCTTCAACTCAACACCACAATGCTTCCAGTACATTGCATAGTATAACATTATCATTTCAGAGTTGGCCATTGGTTTTGGTCACGGAAAGGTACGTTTCCACCAACGACGGCCTCGTGGCGGTCACATGCGAACGTGACACCAAGATTATGAGGTGAGGCTTATGATGAATCTCTCATGAGTACTAGGATTCAGATTACAGATAGTACATTCCTGCTTGGCTGCGATGAGTAACACGACATAGTTATAAATAAAATAGTAGAAGGAATATTTTTTGACTGGAACTTGCTGCCTAAAGCACATATGTATGTCATGTCACTAACATCACGTATGTAGAAGTAAAAGGACAATACATCTGGTTGATCAATTCCCATGAGATACGCCACGCGTCCTGCTCACATTCGGAATAGAAGGGGCATTAGAGTGCGATTGTCCTTACAACGTGAAATCGGTATAAAGGTGGAGTACAAGACAGTGTTTCCCTTCTATGGTACAAATTAAAGGCAAACTCCGGGATTGAACTGGTGCTATCAGCGCTTCTGTAGTGATAGCTTAGCTGCGGAACGACCTGAAAGTGGGAAGGAAAGCAAGAGAAATCTTTGGGAACGCTGAAATTAAGGCCTTAACCTTCAACAGGGTCGGATGTGGTACGATGGCGAGACAGGGCGGTCAAAGAAGACAAAATACGCGAGAGAGCACGTCGTTTGAGAGAGCACGCTGATCTCTACATCAATGCACGCTGATCTCACCACCTCTCGCGGTGGGTGGGAAGCGTTGGAAGGGGTCGATGGTTGCAGGCCCGTAAGGATTAGCGCCCTAACCGCGCAATTTTGCGACGAAGCTGGAGTGATCTAGGTAGGTACAGACCTTACAATTTCCCTCGCGGTATCCTTCCTACTAGTCGGGCTAATCCCGGGGTTTGCCTTTGAACGACTCCGAAGGCTTGGGGGCATACACTCTGTTCCAGCAAACCAGAAGCGCGTCGAGTGCAGACCACACAACCCAAGTGACGATAGCCTCCACAAAATGTAAATGTTAATGATTAGCCAATTGCAGTTGTATTCTATCAGTTGTCACTAATTACAACTATCATTTACCAACTATCAGCTATCACAATGAATCACTAGTTCACAGATTTTGTCAAAACCGCCGTCAGTTATAGTGGGGGGTCTGCACTCGTCACGCTTCTGGTTTTCTGAAACAGAGGATAGATTGTGTGAGCGAGATCCGAGCCGGGACTCAATTTCTGGACCGTAGTGGTCTAAGGCGCTACTTACTGACTCGCTGCCTTCTCTCACCACACCTTGGCCATTTTAAGACGTGACTGCGTGACTAGGACGTTCATTAGAGGGAGTTGTCAACTTGAGCCCGCTAGTAATAGCGCGGCAGTTTTTGCAATATTTCCATGACCTGAAGGTCGAGCGCGTGCCCTTTGCGGGTAGAGGTATGAACCTGAACTTTTGACCACTTGGCTATTCCTGCTCATAGTGCGGACCAATCTCGACTCTCAAGTGACAGTTTTCAGTGACCAAGGCTACAAATGGGTGGCATTCTTCGAAGCTTTGATCACCTATGTCTGCCCGTTTGTCTGCACAATTCTGGCCGATCTTCTCGTGCTTTGTTGTCATAAAAATAGCACCAAGTAAGTTCGATGTACTTGCCCGACTGATTTTCTGAAAACTATAATTTTGGAATTTTATTCATTTAAATTTGATTATCTTCAGATTCACAGTACTGTCGAGCGACTTGGTCACAAAACAACGAGGCTCCTATCACGAGCATGTCGAGGGTTTGAAAATCCAGTCCAGAGAAAGCATCCGGGTAAGCTCTCCCTCATCTACTCCTCAAAAATCTCTTTGAGAAGAGTTTCTCCAATAAAAATGACCATAAATTTGTTTGAATAATTTGTTCAATTGAATGATGAGATTTTTGATAGATTCACCCACTGATAGCCTAGTATTAGGGTCGCCACCGAACCGCATCGCGGCTAGGATGCGTGCGGTTGCGGCGCGGCTAGGTCTACAGTGTGTCTACTAGACAGCCGGACGCAACGCGGCCGCGCGCGTCTAGCCTGTGGGCAAAATTCACACCTTAAGCTACTCCGTATAAAATGGCGCTCAGACCACGAGTACTTTGTAGCTCAATTTTTTTATAAATTTCGTTTTTATTTTTAGTTAACGCATTTACGGCGGCAACGTGCCATTCGACGGTGCCTTTTCATGGCCACTGTGCAGATGATTTTGAACACTCCTTACTATACGCTACAACTAATCGACGAGGTCTATTCGTTACAGTAAGTTCTCATCAATCGATATTTTTCGACTATTTTTTATACAAGGGAATCCACTAGGGGATTGTCACGGTCACACCGTCAAAAAAGCAGATGGCCTCATACCCAGCAGAAGCTACTAGACTACCCACACATTTGGCGGAGCGTCCCCATGTGCTTCTTAGTCACAAAGGGCTTATAAAAAATTAGCTTATCGATTTCCCAAAACTTCGAACTATTCAAAAATTTCCAGATCGACCCCGACTGGCCTGCAAACGTATTTATACATGGATGCGGTACTCTATCTGCTGTATCTCTGCCAATTCCCACTTGTCGCGCTGTACATTTCGGCTCTCTACTCCGATATGAAGTCAGGCGACAGGTAAACAATTCAATCGATATAAAAGAAATTTTTTCAAAAAATCGATCAATAAAAACTCGTGCTGTAGATGTGGCCAATTTATGGTTATGGTGTCGAGGCTCTATATGTAGGTGAAATCTTGATTACCGCAAGTATGACTTCCATTTGAGGGCGGAAAGTGGTGTAGTGACAAGTGGCGCGCTCACCACGCGAGCGGTCCGGGGATCAAATCCTGGGTCGTGAGTCGCCCGGGCCAACCAAGCCTTCCATCCCTCCGGGGTCGGTTAATTGGTACCAGACTTGTCTGGGAGGATAAAAACACTGACTTGAACATCGGCTGGCCCCGCAAGTCATTGTATAGGCCACATCGCATTCAAACGCCACTACGAATGTACAAATGGAAGTAGAATGCGTGCCGCATCCCAAAAAGGGATTGATCAACGGCAAATGCTTTATCCTTTTATCTTTATATTTTTGGAAACGAAGTTCAGCCTAATTACGAAGCCTAAACTCCTCTGGCAAATTTGGAGCCAAATTTTATATTACTAATAAGTATCTGTCGCACTAGGTTTTGCGGCGATTGGGAGCAACCGTTCTATTTGCTTGAGGTTTATTAACCAACTGAGTCTATTTTAGCCGATAGGTTTCAAGTTCCAGCTCCGCAAACAGCTCTCGGTGGGACAGGGGGCGGCGTTGCGCGCTCACGGAAATCCGCGGCCGCACAGCTAAATGTTCCACAGGTGAAAACCCAAAATGTGCGCTTCGTCAAACGTGTTTATCTAGTATTTAACGTAGTCAGAAAGTAACCCTAATGTTTTTTTTAAGTGCTCGGCCTAGCTTCCCTGCGCCGTTTAACCGCCGCCTGCCTTGGCACGACAGGCCAGGACCATAATGTTTCCTACTTTTTCATTAATTCTTTGACTAAGACGATTACCTGCTGGCGATAAGAATGAGATATGCATATAGTTTCGCCAAGAACATCGACGGTGACATACATTCTGATAGGGCGCGAATATTGCCAAAAGGCTGGAAGTGGTGATAAGGAGACAATGTAATGGTAAGTAATGCAATGTAGGCACGAACAAAGTACGAAACGGGATGGCCGAAAGGAGAAGGAGCTTTAGGGAGGGGGCACTCATGTTCTTGGGTGGCGGGAGAGATTGAACAGGGCCCATGTGGGTAGACTAAGGACAGGTGCCCAAGCGCTAGGGAGAAATGTCATGGAAAACGCAAAGCTCCCTCCTTCCTTTTCCTAGTCCCAAGCACAGTAGCTGGCTCACTCACGCGGATGTTCCCTCCCTTCCCCTACCCCTGCCCTCTCCCCTCCCTCCCAGGACACGAGCGCCGGAGGAACTAGTATAGCAGAGAAAAATTAGCTGGTTGGGGCCGTCTTTTTTAGTAGCGCAACTTTGCAATAAATCTAGCGGCTAAAAGTGCACTTTCCTTTGAACATACAAAATTGGAGCGTAATTGTTGCCTAATTGATGTCAGCAAAGGCCGGCTGTTTGATTAAAACTAACAAATGCGAGGGGTTTTTTAAGCTATGACTACAAAAATTACAGCCAGGAGCGGATTCACCTGCTAAATGACTGTTGGTTCGTTCTTATCACTTCTAAATTATATCACACCGTTGGAAATTTTGAGAGCCTTTTAATTAAGCAGTTTAGGCGTGGGAATTGAGAGGATTCTGCTCAGTTCCTTCTCTTCAAACTGGTTTTTCCCTCCATGGGGTGCGCCACACGTTCTGCTCCAACCAGAGTAACTTGTGAATACAGATCTAGTCTGAATCATGACTTGGACGTGAAGGGTGGAGGGAAGGAGGCGAGGGAGGAGGGGGTAGTGTGCACCGTCACCGTTTTCACATCCTACGCAAGTCTGGTACCAAACGCGAACTCCGAGTAGTTAGGAGGTTTGGTCTGCCAGAACGGCTCTTGAGCCGAGATTTCATCCTCGGACCGTGAGCGGCGTGAACAGCGCCACTTCCCGCTATGCCATCCGCTTCTGAAATAACAAGATGGTCAAGAGGTCAAGATCTTGTGCGACGCTCAATGTCCTCCTTTTGTCCTAGTCATTCAGATCGCTCGCCTACTTTGCATCTGTGAACGTATCCTGAACCTGCTTCTGGATGCCATAAATAGAGAGGGGCTCCTATTCAAGGCATGCAATCTTTTTTGCTTTTTTACTCTGCCCGTCCTGTTCCTTCATACCGAGATTATTAAATGGAATTTCTCACACTTCTTGTCATTTCTGTTGAAAACAAAACGAATTTCTTTCCCCGGGAATTAACTAGCTTAAGGCTTTTGTGAGCGATGCCTTTGAATTTAGGCGTACGTGGAAGTGTGACGATATTTTGCCTAATTCATAGCTGATGCAAAGCCTCGAAAAATGGCTGATGGGTAATAGGCTCGTGACCGCAAAGCTTAATTCCGGTCCTTTTTGCGTGAGCTTTCGTATTAATCCTAAATGAGTTCTTGAAGGAGAATCTTGAATAAGTAGAATAAACGGCACTCAGTGGATGAGCACCAGTCTTGTGGAGATCACTGTTCTGACGTCGCAACGACTGCGTAAAATTCAGTTTTGCCAGCGCTTTCACCTATCCGCCGCTATCAGACGTTTAGAATTTCATCCATGTGTACCAACGAGATCCGGTTAGAGCGGACTATCTCCTCAATTTGTCACTCCAAATCAAGCGGCTGCATAATATTAGGCTTCCATATACTTCACTATATCTGTAAAGAAATATCAAAGGCGAAGTTCATGCCGACAAGGCAGCTCATTAAAAACCCGCAAAGGTGATAAGTGGGACACGGGGAAATCAACATGAGAAATTACCCAGAACCGAACAAATGGGATCCCTTCTTGTCCTCTTGAATACCGAAGTGATGCGACTCTCATCGATGCTGCCCTCTTCAACGCTAACGCTCTCTCCGAAAAACTGGAATCAGACGACGATGGGTGGGCGTGCAGCGGTTGGAGGTGTGGGTACAACCAGGGTCAACCGTCCGTTCGAACTGTTCGAACGAAGGGGTCGCATTTTGGTCGGAAGGGGGTCGCAATTTCGAGGACTGCCAGCCACAGGCGCGTGCGTGGCGTATCCGAGGGCAAGAATTGTTTGTGCAGACCGCATTAGATTCGATTAATTATGCACAGAGAGACAGTTTTAGGCAAATTACGGTGTTTTCCTTGAGGAATAGAGAACAGTTGAATGCATCCCTATGAAAAGGTTTGACTTCTTGGGCTGAAATTGAACTTCTTCGGGAACCTACTTTTCTGAGGACGGTTCTTCCACAAAATCGTGAAACACATAAGAAAGAAGAAACCTCGCGGTCTTCAAAAATGTCTTCGCCTCTTTCCAACAATGCTCTTTGAAGGAAGTTATTATTGCTGAAAGCTCAAAAACTCGCATGTGCTGCTCAAAAACCTATGGGATCCAAATGTTCGAACGTGTGATTTTCTCGAAAAATGAACTTTGAAAAATGGTTTAGGGCTTGTTAGAAAGAGCAAACCTGCTCTTTCACCCCATGGAAAGAGGGAAACACAGCAATCAAAATGAAGTGAGTTATAGTCGCTGAAAGCTTAAAAACTCGGTTTTGCACGGAAACTGTTCGAACGGGGCAAATTTTTGAAAAAGGGGACAATCACTTAACTTTTTATAATCTTTTGTTAGAGAAATATTTGAAGTTTCTAAAACTTTTCACAAATTTCCAAGATGTCGCATACGAAAGATTTTATGGCCTCTCAAAGTTGGAGGTGCGCCTTCTCAGAATTTTGGGTTTTCCGCTTCTGACAGAAATACTTTTGGGAGAGTTAGGTCATCCTTGCAATTTTCTGTAAAGCCACCTCAGGCACAGTTTAAACCTACCTCAATAAGTGAAACAAATACGTCTCAAGAAAGTTACACTCTCCTAAAACTTTTTCTTCGCCGCGTCCCAGTTTTCCAGCGTCCGGGTGATACCTGCCGCGCTCCAAGGTTGACGCCGCAACGCAAACGCTTTCTGCGGCGGTTTCTGACGCAATCATGTCAGTCCTACTCTTCTTTAATCCTTCCTCTTTTTTCAGCTGTTTGAGCAGAAGTTCGTCAGTCTTCATGTTACTTGTTGGATATCCCTCCATTTGGTCTTACACATTTCGCTTTCATCCTCATTTTGGCGTGATTGTGAGCGAACAAAAATTTTGATCTCGCGAGGCTAACCATAAAAAATAGCTTTCATTAGCCAGTGCCCTGTGATTCTTGCTCCTTTGGGGCTCATCTTAGGAGATGCATTGATGGAGAACGTAACTCTCTTTGATTTACTCCCTTGAACTGCTCTTGTGATTCTTTCGGAAGCATGAAGTTTGAAGTTTTGGGCAACATGCGTCCAGTACTTTCTTCGCATGCCGCGCATTGTGCTTTTATCAAGAATTTTAGCAAAGTTGCAAACAAAATTTTCACTTAGAAATAAGGTGATTATTATTTCTTTTAGATTTCTCAACAGCAATGCAGCTCCACGATTTCACCGATTTGCAGTCTTTTCCGTTTAGTTCACTGTCTTTGAAGTAAAATGAGTGAAATAAATATTTCACTTAACATTTAGTCAGCACATTCGGCACTTCCATTACCTAAGAGGGGGTCGCAACTGGACCCCCTTGAGATAAGGGGGTGACCCCCTTGAGATAAGGGGGTGACCCCCTTGAGAAAAGGGGGTCGCAAAAACCCTGAAAATGTTCGAACGTGACGGTTGACCCTGTTAACCACGTAGAGACCTGCGGCATATCTTTTAGCTGCAGAACGCGCATAGTCCTGTACCTTTAAAGACTCGCCTTCCTTTCTACTACGATGATTCCCCTTTTCCGACCTCCGTCCTTATCGTGAAATCCTCCTTTGAGATGGATTACATTAAGACAGGTGCTCATTGGGAGCGTTGGAGTTGACCTACCTCACCGCTTCCATGAAACAAATGCTTTCCTGAATTTTTGGCATCGCTCACCTTACCAGTATACCTCTTGTAATTATTTATTTATTCATAATTTTTTATTACTTATTAA